CAGCCGCATGCAGGTCGATGGTCGGCGACTTGGTGTTGAGAAGCTTGTGGAACCACCGTGCACACCGTTGGCGAATAAACGCGGGGTCCCGAGGGACCTTGCCGTCCTCGTCCTTAATGTTCTGAGAGGTGAACGACCTCTTACGTTCGACGTCGATCATCTTCAGGTGCCTGTAGAAACCCGCCTGATCCCCCTCGCGGCTCTTCTTCTCGAGCTGCCGTACATAGGCCTCGAAGAACGTTTCCAGTGCTCTCCACCTCGCGATGCTGCGCTTCTTCCGCGCCGCCTTGAGCATCGCCTTCAGGGTCGCCTCGAAGGCGCTGTTCTTTAAGGCCCCACGTTGTTGCTGCTGGGCCGCCTTAATCTCCTTAGACGCTTCGGAGATTTCGTGCTGCGCTTCGTTCGTGTACCAGCCTCTCTGCCCTCGTGCGCACCTCGCCAGCGGTGCGGTCTCAGCAGCAGCCAACATCACCGTAGCCGTCAGCTCGGCGGCGGTCTCTCCCGTTGGCCGCCTGAGCGCTGTGGGCGGAGGGCGGCTGTGTGTGTGTATGTGGATGCAACTAATCACAACAAGTTTTTCTCCTCGGCGCAAGCCCGCCGAGTTGCCGATACCCTATTCAACACACGTCTTGCGACAAGCTAACCCCAGTTCGGATTATCCTAACACTCTTTCCTTCCGACATGGATCCATCACTCTGTACCGTGGTTGGCCGACGGGTTGTTGAACGTGCCATTCCCGCAGATGCTATCGGTGCTCTTTGTCGGCCAGTCGCCTTTGGTACCCTCGTCGGCATCAACAGCTGTCGCCTCGGATACAGCCCTCCTCCGGAAGGAAGATAGCCTCGCCGTTCTCGCTTAAGTGGGCCTGGCGATGGCCACTGATGCAGAAGCGGGAGAAGAATTGGACGAGATAAGCGCGGGAGATTTAGCCATGCAGGTGTGTGGTCTTTGGGGTGGGGTCACAAACTCGGGATTTGTGGCGAGCCGCGGTAGAGATGCGAAAGTCATGTACACGTCCCGTGAATACCGCAATGGTGTCAAATTGTGTCCGTGTGCATCATAACCGAAGGGGAACCGCCACCATTCTTCCTTGCCAGATATGTCCGTATGTTGTTAAGGTAGGGGCCGTAACATCATTTCGCAATTCACCAAAGGCTTACACGTGTAATTTTTTGCAAACATGTGTCAAAGTCATTTTGGAGGAGATTCAAGTCAACTGCATGTTGCCCAACGTGTCGTCTCCAAGCAACTCGTGCAATGCTCACCAATAATGCGAGGGCACCCCCACGATGTACCCTGTCTTACATGGCGTTCTCAGCCGGCCAGAGCACATCCGATTGATATGCCGGCAACAACCATAACTGTTGGAGGTTTCGGAGCACAGGTGGAGTTTGATGCTTGGGGCAGCGCCGCGAATTCCGACGAAGACCTTGACAATACCCGAACCTTTGCGGTAGCAGTGTTCAATTCCACAACTTCAGGTGCGAGACTGCACTTCACGCGAGCTTTGACAATGTCACCACAGTTAACCTCGGCCATAAACTCGCAACGATCGCGGATAGAATGTAGTAGTTGAAGTGGGCTTGGAGGGACATGGTTCGGCGCTTCAGCTACTCGCTGTATATGCCGTTTGCAGGGGTTGCATGTGGAAAATCACCTCTTCGTTTCGCCACGCATACCAAAATGCGGCCCAAAACAAGACTTCGAACTGCTGCGGATTTGTGGGCGGACCAATTGTCTGTGGGTGGAGCCATTGTCTGCAGGACATGTCACGCATCATACGCTGCTTCATCTATCTACTCCATCGGGTCGGTTGGCAAGATACTCACCACGGACGAGGCAATCATGAGCATGAGTCTGTCACGAGACGCCGAACTCCACTTTCCGCCAGGCGGGCACTGTGAGACAGGAACTGACATACAAATCATCGTGTGCATGTTGTGTTCCTACCTTCCATGAATAAGTGCTTGATGGTGGTGTGATTGTCATTACCACATGGGACTCGACTGGGGCGCGGGAGTATCAATTACCTAGACCTGTCGGGGTTTCCATGGCCCTTCCGGTAAAATTTGAAGGTGCTCTGCGTCCATTAGCTGACCCGATTGCGCTGTATGTACATCGTAAAATATTTCTATTGATTGATTTGTATTTTGATTCAAGTGGCAACACCCTTACAGTCAATATCTATATTCATGAATTTGCGATGCTGTCGCGTGGGGATGGAATTCCCTTCAATGGCGAACAGAATACGGTCGTGGTCCCGATATACCGCGGTGTAGTGACAGGCGAAATTCACCACGGAATATCGGGACACCGCACTATTGAGTGTTGGGGGATATATAGCTTTTAGTATCGTACAGAGCCAAATCCTTTTGACAAGCAATTTTACAACGGTGCATCGGGCGGGACCCGCACTACTCGGGACCGCGGTATGTCGGGACCACCGCTGAAAGTGACAGCGAAGTGACTCTAAAACGATGAATTGCTGCCGTTCAGTCCAATTATCGACAATAGCGGGAACGGTTGGCCTTGTTTGTCGTCCTCGCTGATCGCTGCGCGCATGTGGGGCAGGAGACTCTGTCGACTGGCCCAGTGGTTGAAGGCGAAAACTCCTTAAGCCACGTCGGCTGCGCCTACTGGTCAGAAAATAGTGGCGATTGGAAGACGGACGGTATGGTACTGGCCGCGCTCGGCGCGACTCTGGACAACGCACACTCCGTCGTGGTTGAATGTGCGACGTTCCACCTCAGCGCATTTGCAGACCGGGAGGACTCGACGACCCCGACGTGGAGCACAGCCAATCTCACGGACTTCAGCATACTGGCAGAGGTGAACCACGGGTACTATGATCAACCTGAATTTACCAAGATAGAGAATGCAAACTAATATTGCATGGTCGTACGCACCGCAACCAGGTGGACATGTGCGCTTTCTTGGTAAAGTTCACATTTCTGTAGGGAAACGGTCATCCGTTGTAAATATTGTGCAGCATGTTGACGGAGTGGTCGGGTGGTAGTGGTCCTTCTCGCTCGTCGAACATCCGGCTCTCTTGTCGCCCTGGATTACCCTCTCAGGTATTGGTGAATTCAGAATGTACGCGAAATCCCAGCACAGGTGTCGCCTGCCACGTAAAGAACCCTCTGTCGAACAAGTCTAGACAATGAGGTGTAGGTGTTTTCTGAGCCTTTGTCAATCCAAGCCTGCAACACTTACGATGGAGTGCATCGGCTCATTCTTGTCTTGGCAATACGGGGCGGAAAGCTGGGAAGCCCTGCTGTTCTTGGGCTGCGTTTCAGCAGTTCTTCTTGCCCCTGCGGCGTGGTTTGCTTTGAAGGTGCGTACGCCTTGCGTACGCCCGTGTCTTGCTCGTGTGAAGTCCATCAGAGGGAAGTAAAAATGTGTTGCTGCTCGTTCGTGTGAAGTCCATGATGAGAGGGAACTTTGTGTGGCTGAATTTTCTTCTTGGTTACGACATCAGACTTGAGATCGGAGACTTCATGTAGAGAGCGGACGTCCGTGCACTCGTTGATATTCAAGGATGTTAACGTTCTCACACGCGCAACAGGACGCTGGGATGGACCAGCAACGAGAACACGTCGAGGCGCTTCGGACACGTATTAGCACGTGGGAAGAGCCGGCGCGAAGTTCGTCCGCTCAAGAAACGGGTAAGATCCCGTTTCGCCGAGCGAACAATGCCCTGTCTACGAGCACCCTGACGGCGGTATATACCGATGGCTCGTAACTGTAGGCATGTAATTTTTCCGACGGCGGAGACTGACACCCTCGCTACGCTGAGATACATAATAGTCTGCACATCTAGTGGTAGCAGGCCGTGCATAACAGTGTCGAGACCGTATGAATCATCGAGTCTGAAGAAAGCAAAACGGTGCGGGTGGGAAAACATCAAGCAAAATCACGTCTTTTACACATGACCCGGTTTTGACCAGGTGGCAGAGCGAGCGAAGGATTCGCATGAAACATTGGTGAAAAGCCAGTCCCACGCAAGTGACTTCGTTGGCTATCATCAGACTTCCGTCCAACGCAAAGAGGAAGCAATGGGCAAGGTGAGCGGGTACAAACAGTTTGGAGGGAGCACGGCGACTCACGGCCATATAGTCATTCCGTTCACGTAACCACGTCAAGGCACACAACAACATGTTTTGCTCTGAACGTCGATCAAGGTATGTAGGAAGAAATAAAGTCACGGCTCGTGTTTGACGCCTATGCTGATGTATGGACGACGATTGGTGGTATACTTTTTAGCTACCCAAACGGTCGCATGAGGTTTTCAGCATCACAGCCTTTGCTCCGGGTGTCGCTCAACTACAAGAGACGCCGTGATTCCACTGCCACTGGATATTTTTGGAGGCATTCGAAATCTTTGTGTTACCTGTCGTGTCCAACTGCTCTCTACTCCGTTGGGTTCGCCTCGCCATACCTCGAAGACAACAATATACGGCTGACCGGCACGTTTGAAAATTTAGCGGCACAATTTTACATGCTTTCCGATACGCCGCCACGGGTTTGCGCAGGTGGTGGTAGAAAGCCTCCTATTCGACCACTCGTGGCGACATCTCAGCGGCTCCCCGACAGTCCACTTTAAACGAACGCTTCTCACAAGGTAGGCCGGCACAGACGAGATTGACTTGGTGGAAATACGTGAATGAGTTGATGGCCAACGGCCAACAACATTGACTAGGCCAGCAGGACGGTCAACAAATCCAACCTTGCAAACGGTCTACAAAAAACCTTAGGGTTAGCTGTTTTCCTGTTGGTCATCGACTTGGGGGCCTAGACCGATCCCGCGGAAGGACTACCCGTTGCTTTTGTGGCTGAGGGATCATTTCTGATCAATAATCTCAGGTTCTCTCACGTACGCCCTCATTACAGGCCGCAGCACCTGGTGCCTCTGTTGACGGATTGGATGAGCGCCATCGTTCTCCAGGCTGTTTTCTACGGCAAGAGCCACTTTGGCGTGAGGGAAAAGGCAAGGCGTTATCGCTCTGCCGTTCTTCCATTTTGCCAGCACCTGTCCCCCCCTTTCTCGAATGCGATCTTCTCCCCCCCTTCAATCTTCGAAGTACGCAGCAATACTATTTTCTATCTTCGTGGCTCGTCAGTGCCAGTGTTTGTTTCGCAAGCACCCATGATTGAGAGTACCACGACCATATTCTGCGCGCAAATGCCTTGCACAAACGCCAACCTTTTGCCCGTTTCCACCACGCGCAGGTAGAGATGACGGTAGTGAGCGCACTCTTCATGCTGCCGGCCGGGGTGATTTTTCCCGCCCTTCTGCCGGTTGCCAACGCCCCACCTGCGTCACAAGCGCTTCAGAGGCTTGTTTCCCAGTGGGAACAACCTGAACGCGCAGCTGAATACCGTACTGACCGACGTCAAGTTGATCAGGAGAAAACGGACGATGACTTCCAAGCAACCCTTCAGAAAGGTGAGCGGGTAGACCGAGCATGG